ACGCGGTTTTCAGCGAAATTTTCTCATTTTCGACAATTTTTTCAAGTTCAAAATTTTTCGAAAAAAAATTTTTGGCGCGCGCAACCGTGCTCCGCTGAGAAAAAGGCTTGCAGTTCATTTTTGAGCGCTGGGGAGACCGTGCACTTTTTATTCATAGCCAGTCTCATTGAATGTAGAATTAGAGACGGAAAAAAGAGAAAAAAAGTAGAATTCAATAATTCATAAATGAAGAAAAAGTAGTGAAAAGAGGAGTTGGTACAAGAAATGGAATTGAAAATGAAGAGGATTAGAAAAAAAAATTTAGAAATTTCAGAAATTCGCGATTTTCAGGTTTTTCAACTTTGAGAAGTCTAAATTTGATAGAATTTTCTAGTATTTCCTAATGCTGAAATTTCAGAACGTCTAAAAATTTCAGAATTTCAGAATTTCAGAATTTCAGAATTTCAGAGTTTCAGAATTTCTGAATTTCTGAATTTCTGAATTTCTGAATTTCTGAATTTCTGAATTTCTGAATTTCTGAGTTTCTGGATTTCTGAATTTCTGAATTTCCAAATTTACAAATTTCCCGAGCAAAAAAAACAACACATTGAAAATTCCATGACTCAGAAAAAAAATTTTCGTTTCACCTGTTTTTTCAAATCACGAAAAAGTGTGAAAAACACATTTTGAGAATCTGAAAATTTTGAAAAAAAAATCGTATGATCTTTGGAATTTCAAAAGTTTATACTCTTTAGACAAAGTTTTGAAATTTCGTATGTTTTGATTTTGCTCATTATCATGTCTAGGAAAAAAAGAAAAAAATTATTCTGATGATGTCACGAAAGTTTGGTATAATTTGAAGATTTTTTGTTTTCTAAAACTCAAAACTTATTGTTAAAAACTTGAACAATTTTGAAAAAAATAGGAAGCTAGTATTTGAATTCTAGATTTTAAAAAAGTAAATGAAAAGGAATTATCCCAAAAAAAACTTTTAAAATTGATTTTAACCAAAATTCAAAAAACCTTTTTCCATGAATAGGGTAGTAAATGAAGCATAACAGAGCAAAAATTGCTGAATTATAACTTATTCATCCCTCTCTCAAAAAAAGGAGTAGAAGAAGAAAAATGGACAAAAAACGGCTAGTTGTCGGCTCAAGTTGAGCAAAAAAAAAAGATAGGAGGGTAAGAATAGAGGTGTAATGAGATATTCTTATTCTTATTATAGTAAAATAGAAAGAAAGAGAGAGAGAGAGAGAGAGAGAGAAAGGAGGAAAATGGACAGGTAGATTTGTAGTTTTCGCTACTAATTGTAAGTGTTTTTTTAACCTTGAAAAATTAAAATTCAAAAAATTATTTTTTTTCATATTAAAAAAAAAATTGAAGAATTTTAGTCTGGAATTCAGAAAAACTTGTGAAACCAAAAATTTAAAAATTTGAAAAAAATGGACAATTTGAAAAAAAATCCATGAAAATCGAAAATGCGGGATTTTCTAAAATGTCAGATTTGAAAAATTCTAGAATTCAAAAATGATCCGTAATTCCAAGAATCCAGGAATAAAAATTCTGAAATTCTGCAATTTCTGAAAATTTAAAATGCGAAAATCGAAAAATTAAAAAATAGAAAATCAGAAAATCAGAAACTCTGAAATTCTGAAATTTAGAAGGTTTAGAAATTCAGAAATTCAGAAATTCAAAAATTCAGAAATTCAGAAATTCAAAAATTCAGAAATTCAGAAATTCAAAAATTCAGAAATTCAGAAATTCAAAAATTCAGAAATTCAGAAATTCAGAAATTCAGAAATTCAGAAATTCAGAAATTCAGGAATTCAGAAATTCAGAAATTCAGAAATTCAGAAATTCAGAAATTTAGAAATTCAGAAATTCAGAAATCTTAGAAATTCAGAAATTTAGAAATTCAGGAATTCAGAAATTCAGAAATTCAGAAATCTCAGAGATTCAGAAATTCAGAAATTCAGAAATTCAGAAATTCAGAAATTCAGAAATTTAGAAATTCAGAAATTCAGAAATTCAGAAATTCAGAAATTCAGAAATTTAGAAATTCAGAAATTCAGAAATTCAGAAATTCAGAAATTCAGAAATTCAGAAATTCAG